CTATAGTATATACTAAACTACTGTATATACAGTGGTGCCTCGTATAATGTATGCCTTGAATAATGAACGCTGCGAACAACAGCCTTTCTGTTTGGCTGTTACGTGACTCGAGCAACGGACTTTCCGTTCGTCAGTTACGTGAGGCAAACAACGGATTTTCTGCGAACAAGTGCGAATGATGTTTCTACTCTTTTGCCGTTGTCAATGGCAATCTGCTATTTTTAGAATATATTATTAGTATATCTGAAGTATAGAGCTCCCGTTGGGATTCGGATTGCTTCCTTGTTTATTACGTACATCACCTCAGTGCAGGGTATTTACATTTATTCAAGTTGTTGAATATATCACTGTTGGAAGTTATGTGTTCACAGATAGTGAGTAAGATACCTTACAAATAAGTTTAAAAATCATACACGACTACTTTGTTACCAAAAGTGATACCGAACCAAAAAGTGGCAGGCTTGATAAAGACGCCACGTCATGGCCATTTATTTGTTAGAAAAATAATAGAAAGGTTATATGACACGAAGTGTTGATACACAATACAAAGCCCCGGTAGCCTCTCTTGAATCTGACTCCAATTAAAAAACAATAAAAAGAGACCTGCTGCAATGCTAAAAAGTGTGTGTCTGTATGACTGTGTGAAGAAAGTGTTCCTCCACCTCTTCCTCATAACATCTGACTACCTGGCATAATTGGTGACTGCTCCATTTTCATTTTTTTTAAATGGTACAGTATGGTTATTTTATGCTGCGGAACAAATTAGATGTTTTAACATGTATTTCTATGGGAAAATGCATTTTGTATAACGGACTTTTCACTTAACGGACATGCACCTGGAATGGATTAAGTACATTAAATGAGGCACCACTGTACTATACTTATATTATAATTCTGTGATATTTAGAATTCACATAAAAAATTAATAAATTTCTTTTATATTTATAAAATACAGTAACTTATTATTTTTTACTTTTTTAATATTTTCATGAACAGTAAATGAATCTTTTCATCTTATCAACCTATATGTAAATTAAATTAATTTTTTTTAATATTATTATTATGTTGGGTTTAGTAGGTAATACTCGGTTTAAACCGGTGGCTGTGTACTATGCCGGACCAGAGTCAAGGCATAGCAACCAAAACAAAACTAAAATTAAATGTGTGTGTCAGTGTCTGTATTAAGGAATTTCCTAACAATATGGCATGTATTCAATATAGTGGCCTTCTGTAGTGTGATGTATGTATTTCTACTCAATTGTAATGTTCCCAGGCTTTTGTGTAGCATGTGTGGTATCACACCTGTACAGGAGAGAACAACAGGTACAATAACTACCCTATCCATCCTCCACAGATGCCTTATTTCCTGGGCAAGTTCTGTGTACTTGCTAATTTTTTCAGTGCATGTGTTTTGTACATTGTGAGTGTTTGGAATGGCTATGTCTATAATGTATGTGATTTTATTGTGTTTGTCAATGAGTGTGATGTCTGGTCTGTTGTGGTAAATTGTTTTATCTGTGAATTATTATTATTATTATTATTATAAGAGTAGAATTTCAAAGAATAAAGTAATTTTACTTCTTTATAATTCATCAGTTAGTTTATAAAATGTTTAAACTATTTTTCTATTTAATTTTATGAAAAATATTAAGTCACGCACATAAGTTTATGTAATGTTGTTATTATTGTATTATAAAAAGATACACTGCATCAAATTTGCTGAAGGTATAGTGACAATGAATAATTCAGAAAGTGAAATGAATCATATGCTTAGTATATTGCAAGAGAACTTATAACAGTAGGATTTAAAGATAAACATTAAGAAAACAAAGATGATTGTAGTAGAAAAAAACACTGGGAAGACAAAAACAAACATCAGGATTGACAGAAAGGAGGTGGAACAAGTAAGAAATTTTACCTATTTAGGGAGTGAAATTGCAGACAATAACAGATGTATAAAGGAGATAAAAAGAAGGATAGTACTCATGAAACAAACTTTCAAAGCAAAAGAAATCAGCTAATGTCAAAACATCTAAGTAAGGAAGCAAAGAAAACATTTCTTTGAGCATTTTACTGTATAGAAGTGAATGCTGGACTAAGAAAGCAAGAGATGACCTTTCTGGAGGCAGCAGAAATGTGGATATGGAGGAGAGTAAACAAAACAAGCTGGACTGGAAATGACACAAATGACAACAAGAAAAATTAAATTTATAGGTCATATTATTAGGCATTGTAATTTTCTAGAAACTATCCTTGAGTAGACACACATTATTGCCATAAATAATTGGGCTATAATTTGGAAATATTAATTATGAATTACAAATAAATTTATTTATTTACAATTTATTTGTAATTCATAATTAATATTTTCAAATTAGCCCAATTATTTACAGCAATCATGGGTGTCTATTTGCCAATCATTGGATTTTGGTAGATGATTATATCTGTATATCTATGCCTTGCTGGGGTATGTGATGGCCGACTGTGTGCCTTGAGTGGATGTTTCTGGCCGAGGGCGCGGGTAATCAGTACCATATTAACCATAGTCAGTACCATATTAACCATTGATGGTTATACATTAGGCTTATATATACTGGAAGAGGAGATCGGACCGAAGGTCTGGGCAGTGTAACTGGCAACACATCTGCATGGTAAGTGGAAGTTGCAGGTTAGAGTCCTGCTTCAGGCCGATTCTTTTCTTCCAGTTTATTCTAAATTAATTAATTAAATATTATAATTATTAAATTTAATACGAGATGGTGCCTAATGCCTCCTTCTAGTACCTAATTTATTTGTAATTCATAATTAATATTTCCAAATTATAGCCCAATTATTTATGGCAATCATGGGTCTCTATTTGCTAATCATTGGGTTTCGGTAGATGTTTATATCTGTAGCTATCCTTGAAGGCAAAATTCCTGGAAAGAAAGGAAGAGGAAGATCAAGGAAAAAATATTTGGAAGAGGTCAGTGATTCCTAAACTTTTTCAAGCCACTGCTCTCATGGTTTCATAAATTGCACCCATACCCATCAGCAACTGTCCCATCTGTACCTTAATACAGCCAACCCATTTTTTCCTTATGTGAGAAAGGCTTGGAAATATTCTTAGAAAAGCTTTTCTAAAAATCTCACACTACCATACATTGTTCTCATCTGGAAACCATTAAACACAATGTTTCTTCTTACCAGTTTAAACAAAGAAAAGGGAAAGATCATTGACATGAACCCTCAGTTTTGGTCATTGCTGCTTATTGTTTCTTTTTGGTTCCCCTATATTTATTCACTGCCTCCAGGAAGTGAATAACATCCATGTTGGGAACCAGTGTTCTATGGAGTTCCAAGATTATTATGAATTAAAATGGACTACAGTGGACAGAAAGTGTTGGTTGCAGTGACAGTAAAATTTTAAATAATAGATAGATAAATTTATTAGTGTGAGAGCCCAGACTTGACAAAATTTTTGAATAAAAATTTTCATTGGTTATGTTCAGATTTGTTAAAACTTTTCCCAGGATTATTAAATGTAAAAGATATGATTGTATCTCTTATCCAGAGTCACTTCCTTTCCAAGATGATACATCGAATATGTCACCAGAAACCTAATGAATAAATTGCTATTGGGCATGGAGATTTATGCTATCAAAAAAGGGTATGAGAAGTAAGAGGGAGGACCCCCAAATAAAAGGCATGTGCGATGACAACATGAGAGTTTGTCCATCACAGAGGGTCTATTGTCATTGAAAGTTTGCCCTCTCTAGAGTTTGTACGAGTTCTCAGATACTTTATACACATTGAAAATTGTCATCTAATCATCTCCTAGTGACTTCCCTCCATCCAACGACATGCCTGTTACCTGGACAATCTGTTTACCTACTATCAAGAGCCTTCTGTTGAAAACTTCTTAGTCATCAATTCGTCAAGTCATCAAACTGATCAACAAATGAAGAAATCCTCAAATTTTCTACAAGGTATTTATTTGCCCACAAATCTATGTAAACTCTTCTCTCAAGACTGAGAGTTGCGAGGATAGTTACAATAGCCTTTAGTTATAATATACTAGTCTTATATAATATACAAAGAGATAGCCAACAGTTATAATAGACAATATGATAACCAATAACTAATGTTCACTCTTTCAAATGCTAAATATGTATGATTCCTATTTGTAAATAGCTTATGATAAATACCAGTTTATTGCCCTTCCTTAAGACGCATTGTCTCTCAACCTGTCTCCATCTTGGATCCGACTGCCTACATATGCAACCGCTCGCACAAAAGTGAACTTAGCAGCCATTGAGGTTTCTGTGTCTGTCCACAAGACACAGTGGTGTCAGAATCCTGACGTGGCATCAACAAAGTGGTGCAGAAGCATAGGGGTTTTTCATGCACAATTTCATTAATGTTACTAGATGTAGTTTTTAGCATTTGATTGATTGTTTGTTTAAAATTTCTTATATAAGTATATCAAACATTTTGAAGCCTGATATGCATATAGAAACATTACTAAACGATTGTCTTAAATAATCGAGCTGAGTGCCGTTGTAGTATTATACTTAGGCTGTGGACATAGTTGTTGTTCCAAGCCTGTGACATGATTAACTGCGTAAGGTTATATCTAAATTTAATACATCTGGAAGCAAAGGCTAGTCGGGGTCTAGATGGTGCAACTGGCAAATGCACTGCATAGCAAGCAGAGGTTGCAGGTTCAAGCCCTGCCCTGGGTCAGTTCTTTTCTTCCAGATGATTCTAGATTATTTATTAAATTATTAAAATTATAATTATTAATTTAGTTACGAGATGATGTCTAATGTCTACCTCTAATAGCAAATTACTTAGTATTAATTGTTAAATTAGCGGTGTTATAGCCCGATTATTTAAGGTGATCATTTGGTGATATTTAAAATTTCTCAAGAATTATAATTTGATACATTTATTGAACATATAATTGATTTTTTTGAATTTAAGTAATATTACTAATAATAATTCTATTTTATTTACAGGAAAACTTACAATTNTCTGTTTTTATTGCCAGATACAAATATTTTCATAGTAAATATAATACAGTAGAGTCTTGAAAACTCAGCACTCGATAACCTGGTGGTCCGGATAACTCATATGTTTAATTTTTAATAAATAGGTAAGTTATATGTAAAGCATCAAATACTTCTTGGCATTTAATATAATTTTTAAAATTGTTTTTCTTTACATTTTCATTTAATAAAACTTTGTAATTTTATTAAATGAAAATCTAAATCTTTATTTAGTTTCTCTTAAAAATGATTTATTATAATGAATTATCAGAAGTATCTATAAAAATGATTAGATCTAATTCTTAGATTTTATTTCTATTGGCATTCAATTGATTTTTATTTATTCATATCAACTTAGTTTCAGTTGACATATACAGTATGTCAAAAAATGTTTTCCATTTTTGCAATGCTGTGCAAAAACTTCTGAATAACTTTTATGCAAATCAGCATAATGAAATTAAAAGTATATAGGTAATCATTAAGGGCCATAATTGTATGCATGTGCATGTTTTTCTTAACTGCTGTGGTGTTGAAATCTTGATATGAGGATAGTCCCAGAAGTACCTGACCTAACAAAGATGACACAAAAAATTTGGGAAAACATATCTTTATTTTAATCACAAAAGACACAGTCTGTCCAAAAATTATTTTTTGAAACCACCATTTATTCTGATCATGTGTTCCAGAACACCATCGATAACCCAACCTTTTTTTGTAGGCTACTAGGTCGTCAGGCTAAAACATTCTTTTAAAAAAACACACAAAAATATCCATATAAAACATTAAAAGTAAAGAATTGGAACTGTCGGCCTTACAGACGTCTTGAACTTGCATCCTTTCCAGTTAGGGAATATCTTTATTTTTCAACATAGTCACCTTTTAGCTAGATACACTTGCCCAGCAATGTTCAATAGCTTCGATCCCCTGTTTATAGCGAGAACTGTCGAGCCTCTCAAAATAGCCATCAACCGCAGACTCCACCTCTTCATTGTTGGCAAATCTTTTACCACTAAGGCTTTTTTTCAAGTTTGGAAAGAGAAAATAATCCAAGGGAGCTAAATCTGGCAAATAGGGTGTGTGAGGAAGCAATTTGAACCTTAACTCATTAATTTTGGCCATCACAATAACGGATGTGTGAACTGGTACATTGTCTTGATGAAACAACACTTTCTTTTTTGCCAAATGTGGCCGTTTTTTCTTGATTTCATCACTCAAGTGCTGTAATAAGTTCGCATAATACTCGCCATTGATTGTTTCTCCTTTTTGAAGATAATCAATGAAAATTATCCCTGAAATATGAAAATGAAAACTGACGCCATGACCTTGCTAGCAGATGGAATTGTTTTTGCCTTCTTTGGAGCTGATTCTCCCCTTTCAGTCCATTGTTTCGACTGTTTTTTCGTCTCAGGTGTGACGCGATGGACCCATGTTTCATCCATGGTTATGAATCAACGCAAAAACTCGGCTTGTTGCTGCGAAACATTGCCAAACACTTGATTGAAACATCCTCACAATGCTGTTTTTGTCCCATTGTGAGCAAACATGGCACCCATCTTGTGTACAGCTTTCTCATGTCCAAATTTTCAGTCAAAATGTGATGTACAGCACTTTTTGAAATGCCTACCATGTCGCTAGCTCTCACACTTTGAGTCGACGGTCATCCAATACCATTTTGTGGATTTTTTTTTGCCATTTCTGGCATGGTCACTTCACTTGGTCAACCACTGCGATGTTTGTCTTGGCAGCTTGTACAGCCTTGTTTATACTCTGCCACCCAATATTTTATTGTTGTAAATGAGGGAGCAGACTCCCCAAGAGTAGAATCTAGCTCAGCTTTAATATTGGTTGGACTGAAACCTTTCAAATGAAAGTATTGTATCACATAACAATGACCAATTTTTTCCATGTTTACAAATTCACTGAGATTGTTCACTATTGATGGCTGCCAAAAAAATATTAAACAACGTAGCCTCTTCAAACTTAAGCTTTATAAGGTTGATACTTTTGAACACAGATGTTTTTTTCAAACAAGTACTGCCATCTATATGTCAGGTCGGGTACTTCTGGGACGACCCTCATAGGAACGTGATTTCAGTCCAAATAGATATAAGGTTGCCTGATGATGCATATTTTATATGCATTTGTCATTTTTAGTGCATATTTTTGCAATTTGACTGTTTTTATGATTAAATAAGCCCTTTTATAAACTTTATAGTTTGTTTGCATGATTACAAGTGCTATGTTTTCAAATGAACTTTAATCTGTTTTTGCTGTGTATGCAATGAATCTTTTTTGTGCATATGCAATTTCAGTGATAAATATCATTCTGTTATCCAATTACATAATGAGCATACAAAATTCAAATATTTTAAATCTGTACATCTGTTACATTCTTTTAACATGTTGACTGCCAACTAGGAATCATCTTATAGTTGGCAATCAAACAACAGGTGCCATCTATGAGATAACTTATAAAATGTTGTCTGTTGTGTTTTGCCATATACAACTATTCCCGTAGTAAGTAGTTATTATAACTGATTAGTGGGCATTGGGAATAAGAATGACACATTAATTGGGTGTTATTGAACAAACTATAAAGAAGTTTAAAATGTAATACAAGTTTTCTGTTTTTATTGCCAGATACAAATATTTTCATAGTAAATATAATACAGTAGAGTCTTGAAAACTCAGCACTCGATAACCTGGTGGTCCGGATAACTCAGCCACACCCTGGCAGGGCGAAAAAACCCCTAGTTAGTTTTCATTATAGACAGCTTTATGTTTTATTAAGTACTAGTAGCCCGGGACGCCCCCTAGTGGGCATTCCAGCAGCATTACAAATTCCTGAGGCATGTTTAATGCACTTAATATATGAAAGTTGTGTGCGCTTAATGTTTAAAAGTTTGATGCAGTTAATATATATAAATGTATACAATTCTTCATCTTAGAAACTAAACTTAAAATATCAATACACAAACTGCAAACAGTATTTGTACATGAGAAAGTGAAGCTATTCTTTACTGAAAATTGTTCAAATAAATAGAATTAATATGATTAAAAAATCAAGTATAGATATATACAAATCTTCATGTTAAAAAGTAATGTTAACAGATCAATACACAGCAAATAGTATTTATGTATTACAGACTGAAGATATTCTTTAGCTGTATTCTGTATTCCATCATTTATCCCATCATAAAACTTCTGTATACACAACATTTTTGGTAAAAAAAAGTATTATTATTTGGAATCAATTTGCCTTGTGTCATTTTGTCTTCTGTGTCGTTTTGCTTCTGCCTGCCTGTGCAACATTGCAGATCTGAGCTCATGAGTTTCATTCTGCAAGCCTCCATGTGTTGATTGTGCTATTCTCTGTAATGTTTCCTGCGCACGTCTCTTCCTTTGTCTCGCAACAGTGTCAGCTTTACGTTCCCTCACAGTGGCGTATTTCTTTGGTCGTGCCATGAAAGGTTTCTATTATTATATTAAAATATTACCTTAACTATTTCAAACCTTATCGTTTTATCGTAGTGGTTCAAATCTATCTGGTTTCTCGTTATTTGCCCCCTAGTGAACATTACAGGCATTCAATAATAAATTCCTATTACAAATATATTGAATTATTTATATTGTTATATATTGGGCAAATAATAATTTATTGGCCAAATGAATAATAATAATTTACATTGTTAATTTAAATAATAATTAAAATTGTTCATTTGAATGTTTGAAATATGACACACGATAGGGGCGCCTCTAGTGTCCGTTATCAAACGGTTACGGGACAGACGGACAGTTGAATGGGTTATATATATAGATTTTTCTGAGGTCTGTCTTATCAGGTAAATTACTGTACACTGTGTATTTATCAATTTTCATTTTCGTGTAGTAATGACTCTATGCCTTCATAAAGTATGTACTTTTCCTTTATTTAAGGATATTTGGGCAGTTTATTTGCTGTTGTATTTTCAAGCAAACAATACATACAAGTACAGTACAGTATTTTCTGAGGAAATACTCATACTTATTCTTTTTTAACCCCATTCCCGATAACCCAGCATTTTCACAAACTAGGCCACCTTTCTGTCCATATTAGGCTGAGTTTTTGGGACTCTACTGTACCAAAGTGACTAATATGTGCCTGGAATATGAATGACAAATCAATTTGGTGTCATAAAAGGAAAAGTTTATTGGAAAAATATTGAAAAACAATAAAATATAAAAAAATCATATATATTTATATTACTCGAATTATCTCAGTCATCCTCAAATGTTTTGAAAACAATAGTACACACATAAATAAATTCAATAATGATCAATTAGATAGTCTAGAACGTTATAAAATTTTATTGAACATGTAATTTTGACTTGATTGTGCACTTATATGAAACATTATTCTAATATGTGTTTTGTGAAGTCATAATTTTAATTCTCTTATGTCACCTATTGTTGCATGTTTATTCCCTCCTACCTAAAAAGTGTGACATAATAGATGTTAGTAAGATTTGTTCTAAGATAGAATTAAAGTATGTATGCATTTAAACTTATAAATTTTAGTGTATATTGCTAGTGCTTTTAATATGCATAAAGCATATTTCAGGAATTTTGTTGTACATATAACTGCATATATCTAGCATGTTACATGCATATGGATGCACATTCTTAAATGCATATAAATCCAGTCCTTATTAACCACTATATTAAAATATATTTTCTAACCTCCATAAATTTAGAAATGGTTAATTTTTTGATTACAAATGTAAATTCGTCTCTGTAATCCAAAAACACACTTTGGTAGACGTATCTTACAGCAATATCAGGTTAGCAAATTATCTTTTATTTTTCATTGGACTACAAATATATTTCGGGTTGGTACAATGTATTCCAACCCCTCTTCAGTGCTAGTACAAATAAAACAAGAATTATTAAAACATGACTATGTTATATTGCATAAAACAAACCAAATCACAAAAAACACTTACAT